TTTGTTTTTATGGTGTGTATTCCAGCTAATTGGAAATGTCTTATCTATATGGTATATTTTATAATGATGCTAATTTGCATTTCATTAGCACTTTATCAGTCAGGACTCCAAAGTGTACCAGTACCAGTATACAGGAATCTGTTCACCAGTGAGCCAGACCGAGCAATGGGAAGATAAGAGCTTCAGCACAGGTTTGGGACTTGGTACCCTGTGGGACCTGTGTTGCTGCTTCTATTGTTAGTCATCTACAGTTTATCTCGTACTACCATTGACCACCATAAACCTCTCATTGACCAGCTGGCACCACGGAGGAAACAGGAAGTATAGGTTACTTGCCTAACTTGGAACCAGACAGCAAGAGGCCTGGCAAGGTTAAATAAGTAAAATGGTAAAAGCACTTGGAACAGGTAGCATAAGAAGATAAGGTGCCCTTGTTTCACAGTGGATTGATTGCATGTCCTCTTGAGTCCCTGACTTAATTAGACTGTATTTGTTGAAGGAGTGCATTTGCAAATCAGCAGGCACTGTTAAGCTCAGGACTAGAGAGACTGCAGTGAAAACACTTTAAAATTTGTTATATTGCTGGCTATACATGTACAGGGGATCTAGGACAAGTGAGAGAGCATTATAAGAGTGGATTTGGCTGTCCTTAAGTTTTTATTAGGATTCCACTTAACACTGTAGGAAATGAGCCAGTACACTGGTGAGCTGTCACAAGCAAGCTGCACTGAACCTTGGCAAGACTTCTGGTCTTGCACCATTATCTCATGGGAAGTGGTGAATGAGACCAGAAGTTTAAGACATGGGGAGTGTCCTTCCCAAAAGTTACATAGGTGGGAGTGGGAAGAGCAGAAGGAGGTGAAGTTGGGGTCTGAACTGCTCTGAAGTGAAGATTCAGTCTTGAGTGTTTATTTTTCTGTGCAGTTGTTGCAATGGCTTTATCTTGTAAGGGATGTAAAAACCTTTGATTATTTTCCTTAATAGCCTCCCAAACCCTCAAGTGTGGCTCCTGAGCACCTGCTTCTCAGTGCAAACCTTGTCTAGGTTCATTTTTGGGGCCTTAGTACAGTGGTCTCAAGTTCTTTTCTCCTAACTATTGCTGTCAACCCCCAGGGCTTGGAAGTGGGGGCAGGTTTCACTCACTTGCATCAATTAGATGCCTTGGACCTGACTTCCCCTCACCTGGCACCTTGCATTGTCCTTTTATACCTGTGCAAAGTGGTTGTAACACAACTATTCTGATCTGGTGGCATTTTGCACTCACTCTGCGAAGGGACAAACAACAGAGTCAGGTGATGGAGAATCAAGCCCACTGGTCTTACAGATGAAGTCACTATTGCCAAAGCTGCTTAACAGCTGCTTGGTAGAGTGTCTGTAGCAAAAAGATTTTGAAATCTCTGTTGAAGCCATTGCCTGTGCCACAGATCCCACAGTATGTCGCATCCATGTAAGCAGCCTCAGTGGTACCATTAAGCTCTGTCCAAGACTCCATACAGAAGGTAGTGCAATTGCTTGCTGCATTGCCTTCCTTTCCAGTAGCTGGCAGATTTTGCAGTGGTCAATAGGAGCACAGCTCAAACCTTGCTGTGCATGGCTGGAGAGCTGCCAGTGCTGGCTCTGAATTCTGATGGAGACACGAAACCAAATTTAGGCTTTGATTACTGCTCTCTTCCATAGTAAAACAGCCTGTGGCTCAAAGACTTTGAGCTACTCAGGCAAACATTGGTGGGGAAAAAAAAAACCCAGCCGTTCTCTGGTTCTCTCCCTGTGAATGGGCCTGTGTGAGAGAGCTGGGAAATGCCTTGTTTTTAGATGCTTGTCACTTCCCCCCACTCGTTGTGTTTGAGCCACATTTTTCTCTGCCTCTTCATGAGTCTCCAGACTAAAGGGAGTGGGGTAGGGAACGTACCACAGGAAACCTTCAGAGCTCCGTACTGTGGCTGCATTGTCAGCTTCGTCTGAGCTCACAGAGGAATCCTGGCATGACATTTCGATAGCTCGGCAGCTGTTACTGAAATTGTTCCCTTGTTCTCATCTCTTTCTAGTCAGGAGAAAGAATTTATTTGGAGAAGCAGTGGCACACAGGGATCTTTTATCTTTTAATAGCATCAGACTCTCTGACATTCAGACTCCCCTCCCTCATGTTTTGCTTAGACATTTTTCACATGCTGCACTGACTGAATTTCCCTCTCATGTTGTGCAAAAACAGGCTATTTGGGAATATGGTCCGGGGAATACAACAAGAAATGGAGACCTGGGGTCCCTGGCTTCTATGTATGCTTGTGGGCTATCTGTGTGACCTAATGGAGCACAGTGCAGAACTATCTGACAGCTCTGAAAGAGCTCCCTTGAGCATCAGAAGCAGTTAATGCTGTTGCTGGCTAATTAGTCTTGGTTCTTCTCAGCAGAGGTACTGAGTTTGGCCAGACTGATATGCTTATGTGACTTGCTTCAGTAATGGGAGCTGTTCCTTCCTCAGCTACAGCAAGCAACCCCCAGAGTGGGCTCTGTCCTAGTGTTTGCCAGGCCTTCTCTCTACTATTGCTTTCACCTACACGAGCAGAGGGTTCCCAGTATTGGCTCTATGTGCACTGTTTCAATTCCCCCTCTCAGACATGTTGCTTCACTCTCAGACTCTGGCTGTAGCTTCGTAGCAATCCTACGGTCCTGTGGTGCAGCCAGCATTGGCCTAGATTGGCACCCTTACACTGCAGTCCTCGAGGGCTTGTGTTTCTGCATCTGAACTTAGTGGCCTCTGTCCCTGGGGTCTATGTTAGTAATTCTAAAGCTATTTTTGGATGAGGGGAACAATGTTAATTAGACACAGATGCCTGCGTCTCCTCCTTTGGGAGAGCAAGTGCTTAGAGAACTTGGCTGTCCCTATTCTTCACTCCCAGGTTGCACAGATGCCATGGTGAAGAACTTCATGCCCTATTACCAACGACAGCTTGCAGCTGCTGTTCTGAGAGAGATCTCGAGGGAGTTGGACGCGCAAAGCAAACCCACTCTGCAGCTGCTGCAGAGTCAAGTAAGTACCTTACAAACCTGAGTACAAGGCATAGCTGTGTTCCCCTGGAAATTTCTGTCCTTTTAGCAGTTGCTATAAGATGAATCCTACAGTGGCTGCTTCCTTGTCCTTTGCACCTTTACCGTGTAATTGGCTATGGGGGTCCGGATTACTGATTTGAACAGGAAGGGACTGCTTTGTCTTTTATACCCTGGCACTGAGTGTTCAAAGGCATTTTAGGATCCGTTGTAATGGCTGAGCCATATGCATAGAGCGTACCTATGGGTGTATGTGCTGAGAAGGGCAGTTTGTACCTGTATGTTCCCTCTGCACACACCCCTCTCACTGACTTGTGGGAGCAGAGAAATCACAAGAGAGGTACAATTTTATCAGGTACACTACAGAAGGATTTTTTTCTGCTAGAGTCACTTGAACTGCTGGCTTCTCCCTGGGTGCTCCTGTACTTTCTAGCATCTTTCAGTACTGTAAGGACTGCAGTGTCATTAATCTCTGGCATGCATCTGTATGTGCTGTCTCATAAGACAAGTGTGAGGATATGAACCTCAATGACCACAACATGGGGATAGGAGCTGCTGGTTTCCATGTTGTAAGCCTTGTTGTCCTGCCACTAGATGTCCTTGTTCAGTTGCCTCATTGACGATAGCTGATACTACAATTATTATCATTGCCGTAGTTCATGTTCAGGTCTGGGAGACATTGTGCTGGGTGCCGCACAACCAAGAACAGCTTAATACCTCTCCCAAAAATCTGTACTTTCACTGTTTTTTCCTGTCTTGTGTGTTCCCAGCTCTGGAAGCCACCTAACAGTCTTCTACATGAGGGATTCCTGACCCAGTATCACGGGGACTCCCACAAGTGGAAGGAAAATTATTTCATCCTGTTGGGAGATTGCAGGCTGGAGTGCTTTGATAGTAAAGAGGTAAACGTGCTCCTTCTGTTCTTAAGTAGTTTGCAATTGTCACCCAGGCCCCAAAAACCTAATATCACAGTTTGTGGGAAGAATTTTGTCCTTGAACCCTCACTGAAGGCTCACTTGTTTGTCTGCTTTATCAGGCTTGGGGGAAGGGCTGTGAGCCCAGAGAATCCACTACTCTGTCTGGGTACTTGCTGGTGACCACATGGAGGGAGTACACCACACTGGTTAACAGTCTCTGCCAGGGATTTGTAGGTAAGTCTGTGATGTTTCCTGCTGGAGACACGTATGTGTGAATCAGAGATATATAAGCAGGACTGCAGCTGTCTCAGCATTACATGAAAAAGTAATACCAGTTCTCCATAGGAAGGGCTATGTATCTGACCAATGGATGCTGTCTGACTAGAGGATGTTGTAATTCCTTCATCTAAAAAAAGAAAGAATCCAACATGCGGAAGAGTCTTGTTATACATGAACAGGGGCCTCAATGCTCCTCCGGCTTCTGTGCTGCTTAGAGCTAGAAATCACAATGTAAATGAAACATTATGTTGATGAGGGTCAAACACTATGTTTTCAGGATCTCCCTGTTTATACCCGCTGCCTTCTTCCGAATGATTTTCTGTCTCCTTTTTTTTCTCTTTAGAAAATGCCTGTATTTAGCACCGTTGGCAGGCCACAGGGCTTTGTTTGGCCAGATGAAGAAACAAGGTTTTTACAAGGAAGTGATATAAAATTAGAAGCAGCTGCAGAGAGATGTTGCCAATGAAAGGAACTTAAGACAACTTATTCTGTTCTCTTTTCAGGGGAAACTATCAGCTCCTAAAAGAAACTGCCAATGTACTCCTTAAAGTTACATGCAGTTATAGCAACATGTTAATTGCTGATAGCTTTTTTTATTATTATTATAAAGAGTCCACACACAAAATTGCTAACAGCAAAGGAATATTTCCAGTCTGGAAAGAGTTATTAGGAAAGGAAGTAAGACTTTAACAGGCGCTTTCAGAACAGAACAGATTGTGTTAATGCTTGCTGTACAGGAGCAATCTTGGCCATGTATAGTTTTGACATATTTTCTAGAAGATGCTAACTAAAAAAAAAAAGACTTGCTTTAAAGCAGCTGTGCAATTCTTTGGCTGAACTTTACTGCATTCAGCTTCTGAGCAGTATTTTTTCAGCCACAACTTATGGGCCAAATCCTGACTAGTATTAATCATTTACGATTCCCTCTCTAACTTCCTTAGCTAGCATGTCTCAGGTCACTTGCAGAAGACAGGATTTCCTCTTGGCACTAAAGTGGCAGCCTTCAGTAAGAAATACCAGGGCCTCTAAGAGTTATGGGGAACATCACATGTTATTTCTAGAAACAGTCAATTCAAACAGTCACTGTTTCTACCTATTTTGGTGCTTTTCAAGGTGATTACTCCCATGAAGACCAAGACCCTTTAACTGACCCTCCAACAGAGTTTCTGCTCTTCCTCTACCACCCGCTCCGAAAGCATCTTTGTCTTTGCACAGACTCTGCAGAATCCCAGCATACCTGGAAATCTGCCCTTCAAGATGGGATCCGATATTGCAGTACAGGTAACACCCGGAAGTAGCAGCATCTGCCCCATTTACAGATGTTGCCTCAGGTGCAGAGAGAGGAGTTCTAGTGACACGAGGATCATCAAAAACACAGTGAAGTCCTTTTGCTGAAGGTTTATCTATGAATAACATGACATTTTAGAGACCTCTGAATACTGGGTTTCTGAACAAGTAAGCGCTAGGTGCTGATGGGAAGCTCCAAGATTTGAGAGACTTTTTTTTTTTAATACATAGCTAGATCTGAATGCACAAAGTTTATCATGTTTTTTTCTAACTGATTTGAGCTAAACAATACTGAAATTAACTGGTGTTTGGGATTCAGTTTTACAGAGGAGGGACAATGTGGAGGTTGAAGCGTTCTTGGAAGCTGTGCGGTTTTACAGGCAAGGAAAAGGTAGCTACAAAGTTGGGGATCTTCTCCTGGGAACAGAACCAGAGGTTTGTTTAGTACTGAGAATTCCAAGACCAAAGATCTGTTGTATGCACCATGCAAATAGCTTGTCTAAGATGACCCCTTTTTTTGGGTTTAGATTCTCAGTAATGTGTTGGTGGAGGATTTGTTGCCAGTACTACAGTTGCAGGTCCTCCCAAATCTCAGAGGGTCAGAAAACAGGAGGAGACAGACCTGGTGTCAAGTAAGTCCATGGGGCAATACTCACCTCTGATACTGGAATACTGCCTCATTTAATTTTTTGGAGACTATGACTGGGGAGACCATGCAGAATTTATATATAAAGCTTAAATTTTTTGCCTCGGAGCAAAGATCTGTTCCACTGCCCACCCCACAATCTGTCTGCCTTTCATAATGCCTATAAAACTGTTGCCTTTGCTGTAATGTATTCTGCAAAAGTAAACCAGAATATTTGGAAGGTGATAGCCATGTGATCTGCTGCTTATGGCTTCATGTGGATGAAAAAGATGATGTCCCAAGAAGTGATTATGTTGACCTTTGAGTTGGGCCAGGTGGGACTGACTTGACTAATCCAGAGCCAACAAACTCAAGTATTACCATATATAGGGGGAAGAAAACGGGCTAGTTAGCAGTGAGCACAGTGACCCAACAATAAACTTGCATACAACAGCACCACCAGATAGTTCCCCTGATCACTGCATATGGCTTGTAAGAAGACTCTAACTTTTCCCCTATTCTTATCTCTCTCTTTCTTCATCTGGTCCCCACTTGGCTGGTCAGTTCCTGGAGGAAGTCTACATGCTGGTCCTCAGCCAGATTTCTAGTGAATTCCTGGATTTTCAGAAGGAGCAAGAGAAACTCCATATTCAGCTAGAGAAGAAGATTCGCCCTGACCTGGATCAAATGCTGACTTTAAAGGATCAGATATCCAGAAAACTCCAAGGTTGAAGGAAAAGTGGGCAAAGACCCAGGGCATGTAGTGTTTATTCTGTGAAAGTGTAGTCTTTGCTTTGGCATTTTAACTTTCTCAATTCTATTTGAAATTCTAAGAATTGTGCTGTATTGCAGTTGGAGTAGGAATGCATTTGTTATGAAGAGTTGGTTTGAACATTGCCACATGAATCCTCATTTCAGTGTTTGTTTAGATCATATTGTGATGTGTGCTCTGTAGTCTTGTGCTTTAGCTTAGTGAATCCAGATCAGTATGGATTCCATTCTAGTTCTTTAGGACAAACTTAGGGATTTTGATTTTTGGCAGCTGTGGTGCAGAGCCCAGCAGAGTCCTGCTGTCGGCAGGAAGTGGAACCTGACTTGGATTGTGTGATGGAGGAGCTCATGCATCCGATCAGCCAAGGATTTGATATGGTACGTTCACGCTTTGTGGACAGAGTTGACGAGATGATCGCAGTTGTCCAGAGCTCCTCGACCTCTGCCTTGCAGAAGGAGGTATGATATGGGTGATTTTATTTGATTTATATGCTGCCCTCACGGCAGCTCAGAATAAAATATGATAATTTATAAAAACAGAAAAAATATTAAAATAAATATTAAACAGACTCCCTAAACAGTGCCCCAAAACTTAACCAGCCTGACAAAAGTCTGCCCAAATAAGAGGGTCTTGTATCATTTCCAGAAGATATTCAGGCCTGGGCTCTGATGGGCCACAAGAGGGAGAGAGTTCAAAAGCTTGAAGAGTAGCTACTGAGTGTGGCTTCCTATGTGTTTTCACCAAACAAGCTCGGTGAACACATGGTACTACCTTGCAGGAAGTTGCTCTCAGATGATTTTAGGGATTGTGATGGAATGTAAGCGACAAGACGGTCCCTTAGATATGTAGGAGCCCAGCCATTTAGAGCTTTAAAAATCAAAACCAACACCTTTGAATTGCCTCTGAAAAGTGCAGACTCTGTACTGTGCTCCTGGCGAAACCACCCCCCATCAGAAGGTGGGCTGCTGTGTTCTGCACCAGCTGCATCTTCTGGATGGTCCTCAAGGGCAGCCTCAGGTAGAGTCCATGGGAGTTGTCTGGGCTTGGTGGCCAGATCTGAATCTGAAAGAAAATGTCCCTAACATGAAGCTGGTGAAAGGAGGGCCTGCTTTCTCTTCATCCCCTGCACAGCACCAAACACTCTACTCTCTACACTGAGAATAGAAGCTGAGTTCCACCTGTCTAACTGGCACAGGAATGCAAATAGACCACCTACTTCTGCATGCTGCCTCCAGCAGTAGCCAGCTCAGGAAGCTTCAGGTGTATTCTCCCAATTGCATTATGCTCTTTCTGACTGCTTGTGAAAGCTTATATTCTGAACTGCGAAGTCAGTGTGCTCCTGTGATCCAGTTGGTGCTACATCATGGTTTGACTCTTACTCCAACACCACAGATGTAGCCTAATAAAGGGAAGCAGCTTTAGAGAAAAATTTATCTGAACTTCTCTCAAAGATTGCGGGGGGGTTCTACCTGTTCATGAATTGCTTTGGGGCACATACTGTGAGCAAAAGTCGGCTCCAAAGAGAAGGGTCAGACTTGACATCCTTTTTGTAGTGGTTTGGAGTGAATAACTGCTTAATCCTGACCATTTCCCATATAATAACAATAATTAGCAGTTACATAGATCACTATAGACCTAGATCACTATGGGCACTGTACACAACTTAACTAATTCTCCACTGCTCTGATACAGTTTCTCACACTTGGAAAAATATCCCAGAACCCTGGATTCATGTATCTCTGTTACGAGAAGGCAGAACTCTATAAAGACAGCCTGCAGGGATTGAAGGAGAGATTTAACTTCTACAGCATGACAAGTTTGGTCCTCGGAGCTCAGAACCTCATGCAGCAGGTAAATGATGAAACTGAGAGGACAGAATTGGGAGAGGCCAGCATGCCATTCATAGTGAAGTAGGGGGAGAGAGCTGTTCAGGTACTCCCTGTATGTCTGTCTCAGAAATGGTCAATTTTTAGCTATATTTTCATGGTGTCTTTGTTCCCCTGGGCATCTGCATGATTCAAAGAGATTGCTGAGAAAACAGGCTGGGCTGCCCAGAAGGCAGGGAGAGGTGGAAATGAGCTTTGACTACAGGACTGAATATCCTGGATCTGCTACTCATTTAACTGACTTGCTTTTGTAGCTGATGCAGAATTCGATCCATACATTCCAGCAACTTTCAGAGCAACACCTGAGCATGGCAAATAACCGCAACCAGATCACTCAGGTTCTGGAAAAGGTCAAGGGTCGGGTGCTAAAGGTAAGTTTCCAGAAGATGTTGCTTGGGATTGTCTTTTCTTGGGATCTCTCAACTGTCTTCTAACAAATTTTGCAGTTGAGGGACACTGACAGCCCTTATCCCCCTGCTTTGCTTCTGGCAGGTTAGGGTACCTCTTGGTGTCTTTGGATCATATGCCTTATTGTTATGCAGAAGGGTTGTTGTTTAGTTTTATGAATAGGTTAGACAAGGACTTGTATGGGGTGGTTTGGATAGGGAGCATCCTGCTTTGAGCAGGGCGTTGGATTAGATGACCTCTGGAGATACCTCTTTCTATGATTCTACGCTCAGATTATCACAGCACTTCTGCTGCACTTGAACCCTTGATTGCTATGCTCCCCGTGTATCACAGTCCCTGAGCTGTCCCAGGTGAAACAGATACAGCAATGTTCTGAAGAAAGCACCTCACTGCTGCACAGATTCCTTCTTAAATGTGGTTGTGCTTGCCTTTTAGAAATTTGATTACGACAGCAGCTCTATGCGGAAGCAGTTTGCTCAGGAGTGGCTGCTTCAGATCTTTCTTCCCTTTCTACTGAAGAGCCTGGAGCCCCAGTGTAAATTGGTGAGCCTGAATCTGAAAGAGGGTGAAAGGGGCCCAGACCTCAGCTGTCACCTGATGGTGCTAATACAAGTGGATTCTATTCTGTTCTTCAGAAAGTCTTTCCAAGCCCAGTAGATTTCAGTAGGCTGACAAGAGAATTCTCTTCCCAGTAGCATCTCTCTCTCCAGCTTTACAGCCACACTGGTGGGCAGGATTGAAGAGAGAGGAGGCTTTAAACAACTGTACCAGGTCCTTAGTGCCAAAACTCTGTCTAAATGGATGGGAATCCACTCATTTCATATAATAACATCTGGCGTATTGTGTCCAGTTTTGCCCCCCACTATAGGAAGGGCATGGACAAGTTGGAGAGAGTCCAGTGAAGCGCAATGAAAATAGTTCAGGGTCTGGGGCACATGACTTGTGAGGAAAAGCTGAGGGAACTGGGCTTATTTAGTCTGCAGAAAAGAAGACTGAAGGGGGCTTTGATAGCAGCCTTCAATTACCTGAAGGGGGGGTCCAAAGAGGATGGACCTGGACTGCTCTCAGTGGTGGGAGATGACACAAGAAGCAATGGTCTCAAGTTGCAGCAAGAGAAGTTTAGGTTGGATATTAGGAAAAACTTTTTCACTAGGAGGGTGGTAAAGCACTGGAATGGGTTACCTAGAGGGGTGGTGGAATCTCCATCCTTGGAGGTTTTTAAGGTCTGACTTGACAAAACTTTGGCTGGAATGATCTCATTGGGGATGGTCCTGCCTTGAGTAAAGGGTTGGACTAGATGACCTCCTGAGGTCCCTTCCACCCCTAATTTTCTATGATTCTATAACACGTATGGGCTAGTGGTAATTTCCCCAACATTTTTAACCTTTACCTTCACCACCAGTCTGATCCAATGCCTTGTACAAGGAGCCTTGAGCCTAGCTCAGTTATCCCTCCTGACTTCTGTGGAGTCTGAACTGTCTCATGTAAATACCTCCCATTTTGATTGCTAACCATGAAATCTCCACCATCCTTGTGAAGGTTGTAAATAAGCATGGCATGTTATATATGTAGGGCCAGCATTAGTGACTGGATAATCAAGTTAAGTTACAGAAATTACAGAGTATCATCAGAATTAAATGCAAACATTTATCTTCCAAAACAGTGGGGAATGCCATATTTTGGCTCAACTCAGGTGCTGTCTGACCAAAGAGTGGCCCTGACTGTCTCTCTGACATGTATCTGTTACTGACACTGGCTGACTTCCCTTTTTCCTACCTGCTTCGGTAGGAGCTGCCCAAGTATGAAAGTTACGTGTTTGCTGACTTCAGTGACATCATAAACGTGGAAAATATTTATGAAGAAATGGTTCTGGCTATATTGATGGAGGCAGTCAGCAAAGGTAAGGAAATGGATTTCACCTTAACATTCTGTAACAGACCAAACTCAGCCCTGTTTGGTGCTTTACTCTCTGCTACAGAGAGGATAGATTATACTAACTAAAAATGTTTACAGAAGCTAATCTGTAATATTCTTTCTGCAGTATGGCTATTTTTTAAAAAGACATTACATAGTGAGTTTCATGTTTTCCGATTCAAAACATTTTCCAGATGTTGTTTGTGGTTAGTTCCAGGATTCCAGTGTTGAAATATCGTACTTCTGCCAATCTTCACTCTTTTTTTCTCTCCTGTTGCCTGGAGCAACAAAACTTCTCACTGGCTAGTGTGGAAATAAATCCCATTTTACAGCCATGATGTCATTGGAAGGCTGCATATTAGTTACTTTTGTGTTTTTAACATTAAATAGAAGAGCCTTTATGCTAAAGCTGCATCATTAATGTGCTCGTTTTAGAGCCAAGTCTCTGGCCCATCTGCTTGCATTGGCTCCTCTGAACAAACCAGCCCCAAAGACCATTTTAAGTCTCTTAAAATCTGCTTTTGTGAAGGATGAGCCTGCTGTGGCTGTGCCATGTGACAGCCTAGCTTCCCTGTTAGAAAAGAAAATGTTGAGCAGCGAGTACTCAAGCTCCATCATACAGGATAAACAAAATATCATGTAGGCATGTGTACAGGACAAGGAGCCACATACAGGGTTGTATGCAGTGGAGTGGGAGCAAAGATAGAGAGTGGAGGAAGATTTGGTATTTCACTTTTTACTGTTCCTTGTTTCAGCCCTGAAAAAAGCCTCCAGCCAGAACAGACACAATCTTTACAGTGACAGCTTCTCCTGTGTTCCGGACAGTGTGGACAACCTGCAGCGGGATGCGGCCTCTGAAATGAGGACAGGAGTTGAAGGTGGTAGTGCTCCATCAGACATTGTGACCCTTATCCCCTCTCACATCAGAGAAACTGTGTTAGATGTGACAGAATGGAACTATGAAGGAGGCTGTGCTTGGGTTGCAAATGCTCCAAAATATGAAGGCCAGATCTGCCTACAGGTTTCCACAGAGGCTCTCTGTACAGAAGAAAAATCTTTGTGTGTGTCGCCTGACAACAGGAATTGGAGAAACCAGGTCTTTGGCCCAGACATGCAGAGTGAAAACAATGCCAAGATGGACAACCTGAATAAAAACAAACATCATGACAAGTCAAGGACCTCTTCTACAGGCACCAAAAACCCACAAGAACCAGACTTCACAAAGGAATGTTTTGCAGACAAATGTGTAGCAGAGAACTTGCAAGAGGAATGGGGGAAAGTAGATCAGGGAGGTCAGAGGCATACTGAAGGTTCAGCATGTAATCTAGCTTGGAATAAAGATGTAGGACAGAGTAGTAAGAATGGCACTTCTGAGAAAAAACAAATATATGAAGGATTAGTGCAGGACCTAGATCTCTGCACGGAATGTGGTGATTGCCCTGTGGGTGGAAGTACACCCTCAGCCAGGAACCGCCCAGCATCACAAACTGCACAGTCTGGCAAACCTTGGGACACCAATTGGCTTGAGTCCACTTCAGTGCAGGTTACAGATTTGGCCAGAGAAGCAAGTAGAGAAGATGGAAATTTAACAGATGGAAAATTACATGGAACAGCAACAAGTCATGTGGCATCAATTCAATGGGAGAGAGGCAGAGCAGGAAAAAATCAGTGTGGTTGGGAAATGGGCACAAAGATAGTAGACAAAGGTGAATCCAGCAAGGGAGAAGTTTGTAATGGACAAATGACCCATCTGTGCCCATTTCCTGTGAAAGGAACGGGAAATGCAACTCGCTCACAACAGCTGCAAGTGCACAGTGATGAAATGATCCATGAAGAATCCTACACTCCAGAGATGCCTCCTGCAATAAATCTGGAAACAGCCAAAAATGCCCAGCAGGCATTCAAGAATCATGGGGATGTGGATGGGCAGATCAAAAGCAACTCTAGTGCCTTTTTAATCACTGGGAGCTTGAGATATGAAGATGTACAAAGGACCCTCATCCCTGAGCCCAACGAAGCTAGAGAGACTGCTTGCAAGATCTCTCAGCCCCCAGAGGAGAACGAAGAGGAAATGCTACAGGCAGACTTCAGTGGGACAGATAGGACTGTGTTTCTCGAGAGCCTCTCCATAGCCATTGAAATGGAAGTATTCCAAGCAGATCTGCTAGAAATGGATCTTGAAGATAAGAAACCAGAAAAATTGTTGCCAACGGACAGCGCCTCTGAAATCTAAGTACAGAGTCAGATTTAACTGGCAATGACCGGCATGCTGAGAAGAAATGAAAAAACCTGACACATTCAGCTTTCCTGACATGAGGTGAATTTTTCACATCCCCACATCAACACGGAATTGAGCCCACTGGGGCAAAGGAAAACATAGAGGGACTGCAGGCCATGTGGCCTTCTCACCCCATGTGCCATCACCTCTACCTGATGAGAAACTTCTGGACCTTTAGCCAGTGGCATGGTAGCTGCAGGTCGTCTGCTGGAGGATCAGTATGTAGCATTGACCAACTCCTAAGAGGAGATGCAGCTATTTTCATCCTCAGAGCTGAAAGCATGTGAAGTTTGTGTGTGCTTCTCCAAGCAACATGAATTGAGAAGCTGAGGAACTGGAAAGGAATGGACTCCCCAAGGCATGTAATGCTCATGCGTGTTGTATGATGTACAGGCAGGCCTCGGACTTATGAGACAATCGGTTCCTGAAAACTGCATCTTAAGTCGAAACATTGTAACTCGGAACCATTTTTCCCATAGGAAACAATGTAATAAATGGGGATTGGTTCCTGAACCGAGGCCTGATGCCCTATTTTCACCAAAAATAACCCAGAATTTTGTACTCAATCAATTATAGATGAATAATATAGCTCTATTAACGCATTTATTTTGTAAATAGCAATCATACTGACTTGGAAGGACTTCTTTGAGGTGACTTTGCTAGACTTTCTGAAGGGCTCTTGGTTGGACTTTTTGACGGGTTCTTGGCTGGAGTCTTCTCAGGAGTCTTGTCTGCTTTCTTATAGAAAGTGTCCAAGCAAGTTTGGACAGATGTTCTCCAGGGACACGGGCGACGCAGCGAACTCGTTTGCTGGTGTGGCGTTGCGTCAGATCGAGCATTGTAAAGTTGAAACCGATGTCAGAAAGTTGAAACGCGTGTACATTTATAAACTCGAAATGTTGGAAGTCGGGGACTGCCTGTATATCAGTCTGTTACAAAGGCCCCAAGCTCCCCATCCTCTCCCTTGACCCCCTTTGTGGCTTTTCTTTCTGCTTGTGAGAGATGACGCTGGAGATCTTTTGTAAGGGGCCTTGGTGGCAAGGTGTGCGCTCAGTACAGCGTTTTGTAAGACGCTCCAATTACAAGTGTCCTGGAAAAGCGATGGAGGGAATCGACTGAATTCCGTAGTTACGGATTCATCTCCAGTACCCTTTGCCTAGTCTCTTCCAAAGCTCCCGTGCTGCTGGGCCCCCTTTCCTTGCTGACTACCTGCCCCTGTGCCGCAGGCGGGGGAACAGGAGGTGGAGGAAGAGCTGCCCGGGACGGGGCTTTGCTAGTGGGTGGGGTGACGGGTGGGATTTGGAAACGAAACCTGATCCCCGCCGGGGTCCCGGGAGAGCAGGGCGCTGATGGAGACAGCAGCGCCAAGCCTCCCCCTCCCCCCACAGCATCTGTCCACTGGGACTGGGGTGTCAGGGGCACGCGGCGGAGCTTGGCCGCCCCGCTCCTCCAAGGGGCTGCCCCGGGGCTTTGCTAGTGGGTGGGGTGACGGGTGGGATTTGGAAACGAAACCTGATCCCCGCCGGGGTCCCGGGAGAGCAGGGCGCTGATGGAGACAGCAGCGCCAAGCCTCCCCCTCCCCCCACAGCATCTGTCCACTGGGACTGGGGTGTCAGGGGCACGCGGCGGAGCTTGGCCGCCCCGCTCCTCCAAGGGGCTGCCCGCTGGCCCTCGACAGGCTCCGCACGTGCTCG